TGGGGCATAGGAGGTGGGTTGAAAAGGCGGGAAGGGATATCGTTAGGATAGACAGACTCGCCCTAGGAAAACATGTTTGAGCCACCTTTGGCCAAGTAGGAAGGAACGATTGACCATCGGTGATCGGTCCTGTGGGAACAATGCTCCGTCCTCTCGAGGACGCGTGGTCAATGGTCTAACCGCTAAGGCATGCAAAACATAAGAGTACGCCCCCCCCCCGTGTCCGCCGAAAACACCGGCACTATACCGGGCACCGGCAATTTCCAAACGCCACTACTGAAGTGCCCACTGTAGCTAATACGTGCCTCCCATGTGCTTGCGCGAGCACCGCAGAATTGATGAAGGGTTCCCCCCCCGTCCCGTCCCGCGCCGCTTTCTTTTCTCGTTAACAACAATGGAACGCTCCGCTCCTCCCCCCGACGACAAAACTCCAGCAAACTGGACATGAGGAACTTCAAGAAGCCTACCACCCACGACGCGCACAAGAACTCGGAGGCAGAAAAGCAGAGGGCCAAGAACGCCTCGCCGGTCAGCTCCAACGGAATCTCGGCGGTAACAAAGTAGGAGCAGTCCGGTGAAGGCGGTGGCGAGAAAAAAATAGGCGACCCTTCCCTCTTTGTTGCTCGGAATAAGCCGGAGTGCGGAAGGGAAGGAAACGGGACACCGCACGCCTTCCGGTGCTGCTCGCACAAGGCTGGCAGACGGGAAGGTCAAGGAGTATGGGCACGCCAGACCTGGCCTGTGACGCGTTGTAGCGTGTCATTTGTTGCAAACTCGTGCGTAAAATTACGTTGCGGGACGTGTAGCTCAGCCGTCTGTACGTGTGCCCTCCCTGCCCTGCCTTGACCCTTGTTTCCTCGGGGTGATGTATCCCCTCATAGCTGCGTCTTGGTTATGCGCTGCCGCGGTTTCGGAAAGAGAGGCGTGTTTTGGCCGAGGGTGGCCTTTGAAAGCATCGTTGCCATTGTGCGAGCTTGAAGGATGCAAGCAAGTCTGGGGTCCTTGTTAAGGCGGGACGCTGCGCTTCCCCCGAAGGTGACTGTAGCCGTAGGCTTTCTGGTTTGTTATTCAGAGTGTTCTGTCCTGACGTTGTTGGCGGTGGAGTTGGTCTTGCTCGGCGAAATTTGTCAAAAATTGTTCACTTTCGAACGTGAGAGAACAACAGCGCAATGCAACCGTCTAGACGATTGTTTTCAGTCATGCAGTGAATCTGATACAAAACAAAATTTTGTCGCGTTTTCTGCCTGACACGTGTTGCTTTCCTTTGGTCTGACAAGCTCTGTCAGTCCTGCAGTGGATACTCCAGCTGGAGGGTTAGTCTCCTTCAAGAGCGCGGAAAAAACAACAGTCAAATTCAAGACGGGCAGAGCGTCGGGGTGAATGCCGCCCATACCCATGTATATTGATAGTCGTGTAAGAAGGGCAGTCCTCAGGGCATTGTTGAGGCCAGGGTAGCGGCACCAAGCGTGTGTAGGAAATAGAGATCCCACAGGGTTTTGGCGGTTACAATTTGATGTTTCCGTCGGCGGCACTCGCGCCCTCGCAGCTTCTGATCTCCTTGTACACTAGGAACGGGGAATTTAAACACTTGATATGTACCTCATGGTGTTCAACGCAAATGCGGCAGTCACCTTGGTTGAGGAAGAATTAAGAATACTCTTTCTTTAGGGGAAGGGGAACGGGAGGGCAGGGTTTACACAAAAGTACAAGCCAATGACCAAATTCCCACCCGCTCGGTACAGACGTGTGTGCGATGGGACCAGCACCGCGCGTCATGAGACAACGAACAGTCATACGTACACTTATCATCCGAACACTGACAGCACATGAAAAACATCCAAGTGCAACGTAAAACAGGGATGGATCAAGCATGGAGTAGGCTGCAGTCCGATAGACACAAGATTCACGTAGCGACATCCCCCACAACCCTGAAATATTTCACCAAATGGCTTGCCGTGAGCCGCCATGGGGGAAAAAAACACCGCACAACCCTTTGCCGAGATCGAACTGCCAAATCCGGATGTATGCGCAAACGCGGTGGGCGCCCCCCTCTCCACAGCCCCAACGAGCACACACATGGTGATTTCACACAAACAACACGGAGATACAGCTCGGCACTCGTTTTATTCGTACAGGAGGTAATTTGTAATTTGGCTATTTTTCCTCTTTGTTCTCTTGAACGTCGCGTGCACGAATCCTACAAAAGAGGAGGAGGTTCGCAGAAAACGCCTTCAATCAGTAGAAACCGAAGGTGGCCATGATCCTAGCACACACGCCCCTCTCTCCGCGCGGTCTTTGAGGGGGTGCGTCCAGCAGGTCCGCGTCGTCGACTTCCATCGCATCCCTCCTGTACGTGCCCCACAAACAACAGGCAAGAGCTGAAGTCATGTTTGCATTGTTGTCTTACCATAAAAAAAAATAACGTTCCGATCTCTTCTCTACCCAGTACCTTCGTATGTCGGTACTGATCCAACACTCGACGCGGTCGATTCCCGTGGTCACTGGTTGACTTACCCTAAAGGTATACAATGGATCGATGTGTCGTGCCGGGGGGGGTGGGGGTGGAGTCCGAACCCTCACATGCATTTGTCAACATGTTCTCGGGTACACATTCCCGACTGAGTTCTCGCATGAAATGAAGTTGTGAGACGCCACGGCGACCAAACCATGCCCAAGCAGCTAAGCCTCACCCACTAAATACCACATCGCGCGAATACAATGAATGCACTTGATGCATGAAACGCACCACGAAAGGAAGCGTGTGTGCATACGGGCGTCAAGAATTGTTGGTCGTCAAAGAAAACGCCTCCACTTGGAAAGCCCAGTAGATAACCGCAAGGTACAATCTTGTAAAAAGACTCTTGCTCCATCCTACCTAGGCTGAAGCACACTATCCTCGAAACAAAACACCCGTAGCTCGAACAACAGGCACGAAATGAGACCAAACGGTAATATACTCGCGTCACCGAGGGCAGCAGCTGCATACACGACGTCTAGCCAGTTTGGTAGTACTATCCTGCTGGACGAGAAGAACACATCGTATGACGATAGACTCTACCGAGCTGGTTTATGCCTATGCCTATACATCGCTCGCCTCATGGCTGTCATACGTCTGCAGTGATTAGCGCTCGTCATGAGAATCTAGGTCGGGTATCATATCAATGCTGAGAGATACACACGCTGCTAAAGCCTCCAATAGAGAACAAGCGTGGTGATGCCTTCCTTCAGCAACGGAATGCCAGACCACAAATCGGTCTCCTCACCCGTGGGAACCTCTCCCAGGTGTCGCCGCATTAGCAAGGACAGGTTGCGCCGCACCGAGCGGCGGAATCCGGCCCTCTCTCAACGATTGCCACGTCTAGCACAGCGGGAATAAACACAGACGCAAAAGCAACACGTCGTCGTAAGGGTCGGGCAGTTTGCACCGTGAACTCATACAACACCGTGAGATGGCTCAATTTCGACATAACGCAGTACGCGAGAAAACACATACAAACGCAGACACGGCCAAGACGCGCTGCAAGCGAACGTCCGCGAATCGAACCGTTCAATCGGATGGCATATTCGTGCTTGCAATCTTTACCTCCCCCCAAAGAGGGGTGTCCATGAGCTCCATGTCACATCCCACAACAGAACTCCGCTGGTCACAAACCACCCAAAAAGCTAAAGCGTGCAGCAGCAGTGGTGCCCTTGCGACGTGGACGCAGCTTAGCTGAGCGTATGGCAACTTGCCTACAACACCGGCGAAAGCCGGTACGGCAGTCGAGAAGCAACCAGTCCTCCGCCCCGGAAAGCGAAGACAAAGTCAATCAATAGATACAAAGTGGGTGATGGGAGACGCTACCTCAGGGATGACGAACTCTATCAACTCTGCTGCAGAGCAATTTTCGACAGGCGTCACCGTTTCAGGACGGTAGTCTTTCGATGGCAACATGTACAGGGTAAATAGGGTCTTCTCCATAAAAAAAGAATCCCCAGTGCTATGCATACGCGCTGTTGTCGGGGGGGGGGGCGTCGTACTCGTGCCAAAGCTTGACACAACAGGAGTACAGCAGCAGTGCTTCATCGGGAGTCGCACTCCTCGGGAGAGTGGGCGGGCTGCAGAAAGGTGTCCTGTACGTGCACATTGCTACCGAAGGCTATGTAAGGTTACCACCCGCGTGTACCTCGTCGTCGAGTACTCTCTGCACGCCAAGCATGACCGTGTCCGTCAAGCGCGACCCGTGCCCCGCGGCGAGCGCCTTCTCTGCCTGCAGTCTCGTGGCGTACCTGTCTCGCAAGGAAAAAACGTTGGACACAGATGAACGCAACCCAGGGTGGTCGAGGGGGACTCTCAGCTTCAAAGGCCTGGAGGGGGCGGATGCTGCACGCAGGCATAACACGGAAGAGGTCACAGGTGGTAGCGGGCAGAAGAGACAGCACACCGACCGGCCATACACATCACTACGCGCGAGACAACTTTGGGCGTGCCCGGCGACCTTATCTCGTGCCCCCCAAGCTACGCCTGTTCCGCGCATCTATACGACCTCCACTGGCAGTGTTTGAGACTGCACGTCATGCGGGCCCAAAAGAGCTCGCGGGCACTCACTTCAAGTAGAGCCAGTTGCTGCCCGGCTGCCCCCGTTGCTCTACCACGTCGCCGAACTGCAGGAAGCGGATGAGGACTTGGTTCGACTTGCCGGGTGGTACGCCCCACACCACGACCCAGGTCGCCCTCTGTGTGTCAGGCGCCGCGTTGAAACCGCCAAATCCGCCGCCGCCACCCATCCGGTCGTCGCCCCCCCCCCCGCGCCTACTCCTGAGCCCCTCCCCCCCTCCGAACAAAACACCGCCGTCGCGGACATCGTCGGGGTCGTCCGCCAAGGAGCGAGTGGGAATATCGTCGTCGTCGTCGTCGTCGTCCATCACATTCTGCCCGCGGCTGTTGCCGCTGGCTTCGACGGGCACGAAAGCCACATCGCTGCTGAACCCCACCCTAGCTCCGAAGCCGTGCTGCTGCTGCTGCTGCGCGGTCTGACCGGGATCGCTGTACCCACCGGCGCCGTAGCCAGGGCCCGGAGCACTCCCGCCGCCGGCTACGGAAGAGGAAGCGTTCATCGGTCCGCGCGCGAAGGGCGACGGCTGTGCCGACGCGGGGGTCTGGCCGTATCCCCCGGCCCCGGCGCCGCCGCTCCTGAAGGCGTTCCCGCCCCCGCCGCCCCCGCCGCCGCCGGCCGTGGCGTCGATGTACGCCCCTCGAGGGGGTACTCCGGTGGGTGGGTCCGTCGAGCGGAAGTTTTGGCGCTGATATCGTGGCAGGGGGCAGCAAGACGGGCGCTTTAGGCGTCAGCATATACACGTGCCCGCGTGCACCGCAGGTTGGTTTACACGTTTTTGTTTTATGCCTCAAGCTCAATGTCATGTGAGGTGGACGTCAGCGTTGACAACAAGCAGCCAAATGCTTTCGTGATGCGTGTCGTAACGGGGCACCCAGAGGACAGCAACAACGCAGGGTCGCGTTTGGAGACTACTGCGCGCTCCCAACGACTGAGGAACAGAAACATGACTGCACCCATAGGTTCTTCCTACGACGACCATTCCCGAAACGGGGGCTCGACAAGCCCGCCTTGATGGTGTCGTGCACGAGCGAGGTATCCTGCACACAGCGATCATCGCTGTCTCAACTACGACAACGCTCACTTTGGGGTTCCCGAATAGGTCACCCTCGACCACTTGCCCCTCCGGCGGCCCGTCACGACCTGGAGTTGGCATAGAGGCAGAGGCGGGACGCGTCCCAGCGCTGTTCAAGGCGTTTTGTTACCTCAAGACGACGGCTACCTCGTGGAAATGAGTGACGCTGTGAAAAACGCACCAAGCCTTAACTTCGTACTTGCTCAAGAACGTCGACGATGCGGTGAGTTCTACGTGGTATGTGCAGACGATACATAGCCGTTGCTATCAAGACCAACCTTCACACGCCGCTGCAGAAATGCGGTGCCTTCACAGTTGGTCATCAGTTCGAACCAATCCTTTGGGTACGGGGATGGCTCGTCAAGGACACGTTCGTGCGCAACCTGTCCATCGAAAAGCATAGACTACAGATCGCGAAGGGCCCCTAGCCTCTACTTCCTATGCTCTTCGTACTTCGATCGCGAGCTGGTGAAGGAACGGTTTGGAAGGACATTCGTTGCCTGATGCTGCTGAAATATCGACGCCAGGCACACGGTTTGCTGACGTTCTCTGAAAGGCCGGCAAAAAGAACCAGTCTCTGTGTGCGTTCGCGGTGCTCCAACGCGGAGGACAGCCTGATAGGATCATGGCATGAAACTGGACATGTGGCACGTAGCGTCACCTTCGACCTACACCACAGCAAAAGCTTCATCGATCGAAACAAGTTGTGTACGGGTAGTTGCTCTTATGCACGCAAGTACTCCGAAATATGAACTTCGTTCTCGCGAGTCTTCGCGGATGGTGGTGAAAGAAAAACCATCAGGTATATCGTTGAGGAAACCGGCCCAAGAGTGGTCATGAGCCTGTACTACACCGCGCTTTGCAGGCATGTCACGAGCTTGTTCGTGAATCACGAACGGCCGCACAGCCTACGGTACGGGACCAACCGAGGGTTGTTGGCCCGTCTCTTGAATGCATACCACACGTTGGACAAAACGATATGTCAAGCTTATTGGTGCAGTCAATGTGTATTGAAAATTCACATCAATTGATATCATTTGGTTCAAAATGTGAGGAACACATCGATCGATATGTATTGCTTGCATCACCATGTTTCGCCGATTGTGAGCAATACGTATTAAATTTTCAACAGACTCGAAATATATCATTCCATATGTGTTGCTCTTGCCGATAGGTTCGAAGACGTACTTGCAATATGCTTTGATCTTCAACACGGTTTGGCAAACATCGCTCCGATATATGTTGCTGCTACCGATAGGGGATTGTTCGGCAATACGGCGCCACAGAAATCGATACGTTCCGTTGAACACATAGGGTTTGTATCGATATATTCAGTTGTAAACGGATAACGCGGGCAAAAGGTATTGGTCGCTACGGTTATCAACATATTGTTCCTCCAACATATATCGATCCAAGTAAGCAAAAATGTGTTGTATCCCCGATAGGGACAATACCGAGGTATGCCGATCGATACGATACGTATCGATAGACTTGTAGCTAGCCTGTTGCGTGTGCAAAGGGGTATTGTTTCCGTTGCTCTAAATCTATTGTTGCTCACAATACATATCGATCCACCTGGAATCAACATATTTGTGACAGCAATAGGTATCGGTTACCGAAATTTCAACTCTATTGTGGGATCAATAATCAATTAATACATGTACTGTCCAGGGTGTAAGGGCAATCTGTCGGGCCCACGATAGGCTACTGTCCTCGTGTCTAAACCTTCTGGCGCCTACAATATCTATGCGTTGTGCTTGTGCAACTATCATTTCCCAACGCCTAAAGACTACTTGCCATACATACACATACGATAAAATTCAGAATCGAAGACATTGGGACCCGATATGCATACATAGTCATGATATGTTTGTAACTCTGCCCCCCGGCGATTCGAAGCATTGCACCGCCGCCATTGCGCCACCAATAGACATTTGCGGGACAACTTATACTCCGAGTATGCAATAAGCGCGCCCGTATCGATACGTTTGTCAGGGCAATCAATCCGGGACAGTGCAACGATACGTGTCGGGGGAGCAATAGACAACATGGTGTGTGTTGTTGTTGTTGTTGTTGTTTCTCACAATAGCTCTATTGTCCACAAAAAATGGGGAGCCCGTGGCCGCAAAACCCGGCACGTACGACGCCGCGGGGAAACAAAACAAAAATAGGGTACAAACCACTCGGAAAAAAGAAAACAAAATGATAGAAAGAAAAGGAAGGTACGGCACCGACCGTCCGAGAAAAGAGCCCTCGGAAACCGATAAAAAAAAAAGGAGGACGCTTCCCGCACGCGCCTAAAGAAAAAATCAAAGGGTAACGTAACAGCACCAGGCACTACGCACCAGGGCACGGGAGTAACGGAGCAAACAGGACAAAGAGGCGGCAGATGGGCAGACAGCCAGATGTACCAAAAACAAAAGCAACAGCAAAAGCGAGATCAACAGCGAGATCAAGGTACCCAACACAGCAGAGTTGGCAGGGAGGACATGAAAAAACGAAACACAGCACAGAGGCCGAAGGCAATACAAAGGACATACATAAAGGAGTAGACTATAGCATACATCAGGGAGGGAAACAGGGCGCAACATCAGCCGGGTAGATAGTTCGCCACAAGTGCTGCCTCGGCCGCCGTACTCGCTTCTACAGCAATGCCCGTTCGCCGTTTGTTCCCCCCCACTCTTCTCCCTTCTTCCCCTCGCTCCTCGACAAGCTTTTGCTTAGACATGGGTTGTAGTGAAGGGGGGGGTCTTTCTGGCGAGCAGGGCTAGACTCACCCTCAAGGGATGACCGAAACCTTCTTGCTGCTGCGCATATCCGCCGCGAGGCATGCGCGTGGTGGTGTAGTTGGGTCGGCACTGATGGGGTCAGGCGAAAAAATGTAGATGCGCGGGCCTCTGGCCGTCGGCGTAGGCAGCGATGCCCATCTCATTTTTTGTGCGCGGA